AACCAGTCTAGGACTTTAGATATGGAATCATCAGTTGTCTTCATTGTCTCAGTAGCGCATGAACCCAAGTACGAGGATGTCTGAGCATTGAGAGCCATGAGAAGGGGCTTACCTTGCTGATGATCTCTAAAACTGTGATCTGATGTCTGAGATGACTCAGGCTCAACACAAGGTGTCAGTTTATCTGCAACATAGAAATGCTGTTCTCAATAAGATAATGCTTATAGACCCATTATTCAATCATTTATACCATCATCTAAAGTGGGCACTTTCTACAATATTAGCTGCTAATACCAGCATCTTTCAGGGAGTTTGGTGTAAGATATTCTAATTAACTATTCTGTCAGAAATGCCTTGAAACAGAAAAGGAAAGCAGATGCAGGACCCCTCAAAGTAGTGTGGAGAAGTACTTGGGAAATTTCTTTGGAATTCATGGTTTATGTTTTTAAAATCATGTGAGTTTTACATTCTGTTTCACGTTACATTTTAAGTATTAATCTTCTTCAACTTTCAAATATTTGCATAGAACTGAAAATCAAGAAAGATATGTCATATTGGTTTTAAGGCTTTATTTATCCAGTGGGAGATTGTCATTAACCATAGAGAAGGCTTTAAGAAGCACAAATTGAAGTAATTCGGGAGTTAGAAAAACAACTTTCAAGTAAGACTAAACAATGAATTCTTTCCAGAACACTTGGATAAGAAAATGAGAATATTTGCATTCCTGAGCTTGACTCCTGATGTATTAAATCAGAATCTCAGAAGCCAGGGCCCAGGAATCTTGACAAACAGCTGTCCTGGTGATTGGTCTGCATGCCGGAGTTTCAGAACTCTAATCAGAACAGCCTCCTCCATTATTTCCCATTTTCTTTTTACTATTTATAAGTCAGAACTATTTCCTGTAAGTCAAGCCAGTCGAACTGGTTCCTTGATGTTAGCTAACCAATGGCTAGGGGTCTAAAGAAGGGTGTTTACTTCTTTGTGAGCCTGAATCACAAAGTACACGGTATGTTCATCTAAAGGAACCCAGGCATTTTATAAGAACTCATCAGGCATTTACTTAAGATAGCAGTGAAAAATCGAATGCTTTGATATTTTTGTTCTAATGTTAGGCTATACAGTATGTGAAGAGGGGTGTTCCTAATACAAGAAGCCCTGGATTTTTATGAAGTCAGCCACATTTTCAAACCAGTAAAATCATATCAGTCTATAAAATTCAATCCTTAATTTTAACCCACTCTGACTAAATGTGAAAATGTAAGAGATTTGCATAATACTGATACACACTAGAGATCAGCTTCCTTACTTAAGTACATATCATATCATTAAATATTTGTCAGTAATTGTGAAAGTCTTAAAAATTATGTGTCTACTTACAGATCATTTAATAATGAGGAAAATGTTTGTGATAAACTCTTGGTTGAAAAAAGAAAGTATTGGGTGTTGGGGTTAGAGATGGCTCAGCGGTTAGGAGCACTGGCTGCTCTTCCAGGGGTCTTGAGTTCAATTCCCAGCAACCACATGGTGGCTTAAAACCACCTGCAAGCCCAGTTCAGGGATCTGACACCCTCTTATGGCCTGCACAGCTTGGTACACAGACATAGAAATAGGCAAAACACTCATATCCATTAAAAAAAAAATTAAAAGTAAATCTTAAAGAAGTCAGGGTATTATAAATATAATTTCTGAATTATATTCATGCCTAAAACTTAGGCAATCTGTATAACTACAAGTTAGCAAAAGTTAATGTTGAGCAGCAATTTTACAGATGAGAACCTTTAAAATTCTGTGTGTGATTTGATTCTTAAGTATTTTACATATAAATTTGTTACATTAAGAATGAAGAATAGCCGGGCGGTGGTGGCGCACGCCTTTAATCCCAGCACTCGGGAGGCAGAGCCAGGCAGATCTCTGTGAGTTCGAGGCCAGCCTGGGCTACCAA